CGTTGAAAGATAAAAGGTGCATGTTTGACTGAGCATGGGCTCAGACAGTTGAGGACACAATCCCATTTCTGATTAATTTTTTTTCCAGTCTGGGGCTTTCTAAATTGTAGTCGTTGGAACTACAACTCTCAGCATTCCGAGCCAGCATGGCTGGCTGGGGAATTCTGGGAGTTGAAGTCCACACATCTTAAAGTTCCCAAGGTTGAGAAACACTGCTGTAGAGGGTGCTTTCTTGTCAAAGCAGACAGGTGGTCTGTAGCCCCTCACTGTATATATTGTTTAAGAATGCCTCCCATTTTAGATTATTATCATTATTTTAAACATTAAAAAACCAGTCAGATGGAGCACAGAATCTGGCTGGTGCCAAAGGAAGTATTTGCAGGCGTGGTAGTATCCTGGGCCTGTGTTCCTACTCCCATGCTGTTGGTTGGATATTAGCATTAGTAGCACTACTTTACAATTCCTACTGCTGTAATTTAAATTTCTATTCTACCTTTCCTTAGGAGTCCAAAATCACATACATAGCATACACTAGTTTTTTTTCCAGAACAGCAATCCTATGAAATGGGTTGGGCTGAAAGAACCGCTGAACCCAGTGAGCTTCCATGGCTAAGGCCGGACTTGAACCCAGATCTCCTCAATCCTTGTAAATACTAAAAACTTACAGCATTGAAGCATATTGACAAATATCTTGTGTATCCATGTGTTAAATAGAGACCTTGTTTTTTTGGTAGTGGGGGTGAGTTGGATGGGATAAAGGATTGATGTCAGCCTCTGGCCCCATCAAATGGAGGGAGGCTGTTGAACTGTGAAGAGGGACTTTGCAGGCCCTCTCAAATTGCTTGAGAATGAAATGTGGCAAGGTTGCTCTTTTCCATCTCTGAAAATGAGCTGAATTTAGCTCTAATTCCATTCCTGTTGCCCTAGCTAGAGACAGATAGGATACTATGTCTCAGCCATTTTCCTTCTCTTTTTCTCCAGTGTGGAGTTGAAAATATCAGAAGAGCAGAATCCTTGAATGGAAATCCATTGTTCGCCAAGGTACTGGTCCCCTACTCCCGTGAAATGTGTGACATTCTCCAGAGAAACCCCTCCTGTTTCTCTGGCAGGAATGGATCTCCTTTGGTGGCCGCATGTAACATTTTTGGAGGGCTGAGGGCCACCAAGTAGATGGGACCACTTTATCCATGGAGATAGATCTTGGTTTTTTTTTTTTGTTTTTTTTGGAGGAGAGGAATCCTGGCAGCTTGCTTTGCTTCTTCTAAAATATGATATGCCTATTACAGGTTTTTCAGTGGTTTTCATGTGTGGTAGGTGATTTTTCTATCAGTTCTCAGATCAGAGGGGCTCTGATGGCTACAAGTATGGGACCCGGGGATACCTTAGATTCCTAGAACTGCCCCATTTTTTCTTCCACTTGCTAAGTCTACCATTCACTCTCATTCACATTTCCTATTTTGGGACCTGTTGCATTTTTATATTTATGGGATCCTATCTTGCATATGCTCTGTCAGAGTTGAATCCAATTTGGACCTCTCCAGATGTATTGGATCTGTAATTAGAATTCCCAATCCCAGAAGCACTTGGGCAGAGCTTCTTCTGGCTCACTAATTGCTATTTTGTCAAGTTTGTTAAAAGTAAAAATAGGAATCATTGTTCTTAACATGAAAAGGAGGATACAGGATAAATACATGATTGCAATATTCAATATTGTATTGAAAAACAGTTGAAAAATTCTGAATTAGCGAGTTCTTGCTAATTCCTTGTTTTAAAGTACAGTGGTACCTCTAGTTACAAATGCCCCTCCTTACAAATTTTTCAAGATACGACCAGCTCCGGCCCCAAAAATTTACCTCTACTTGCGAAC